GCCGTCTGTTTTGCCGACGTGCAGCGCGATGGGGAGGGCGTGGTGGAATTTCTCCGCCGAGAGGACATGGATTACGCTTTGCGCCGACTGGATCGCACAGAGTTCCGTTCTCACCAAGTGAGTGGAAGACCCCGTGGTACGCCCCTCCACGTCGGCCAGCGGAGCGCACATTCACTCTTGTCCTCGTTTGCAGGGTGAGACCGCTTACATCCATGTCTACGAGGATAGAGGCACCCCCAACTGGGGTCGCTCGCGGTCCCGCTCCAGATCCAGAGGACGCTTTTCGCCGCCCTACCGAGGATCACCACCACCACGTTACCAGTCCCCTCCTCGCATGTCCCGCCATAGTCCGCCTCGGAGATCATCCAACCACAGCCCGCCACCTCGTCACTACCGCTAAAAGCTTAGGATTCACGGAGGAAACTAAGGAGAATGTTCTTTTTTTTTTTTTAAACCACCTTTGCCATCGTAAGACTTTGTTTCTTCCTGCATACATTCCATGGCTACTTCCCTTTTTGTGTGTGTGTGTAACTTTAATATCCTTGTGTGTTGTCTCCGCGCAAGATTTTGACCCATTTGATATGCATCCTGAATTAGTTTGCTCAAATTACTTTTCACAATGTTAAAATATCGAGCAGGTATAGCTTTGCAGCTTTAGCTTAGAAAATTGTTTTCGTGTAGAATCTGATGCTAATCTGATTTAGAACAAATTAGTGAAACTTCAAATCTCGACACTGCAAACCATATTTTTTTGTAAGCATCTGACTGAAGTAGATGGAATTACCATTTTGTGTGCATCTGTACTTTTACAATAAAATGTTAACTTTCTATGATTTTGTCATTAATTTAAAATGTTATCACTGCAGAATACAACTACAGCGTAATGTTGAGGTACCAATACAAATTTAATTTGTTCAAATTGAGAAAAATCCTGCATGCTGGGTGAATGTATTGTTCTCTGCTACAATCTACCTGATTAAAACAGTCATAATTTTTCACAGCTCAAGAAAACACAAGGGACGTGAAATGCAAAATAGAATATTTTAATTCACAATAAATTCTTACAAGTAACGTTTTTAAGACAGGAAAAAAATAAAATTTGTCTTCAATGGAATATTTTTTTTCTGAACTCCGTTCATGGTCAGGTCAAGCCCACGTATAGACACCGTATTGCATTTGATAAATGTGCAGGCTTAAAAGGTACAATGGGTCTCACATTGGATTTAGCGAATTTTGGGGGGGGGAAGCACAGCAGCCAACAACATGGGGTGCGTTTCAGAGGAACACATGGCGACAAAGAATGAATATGAAACACCGGTGCTATCAAACAAGGATTCAAATGTACATAACTGCATGGCCACAAACCACTGCGAAACTACCAGTGAAAGGTAAGAAGTTGACCTTAAAATCAGAAACATCTCAAAGAGCAGCCGACAAGATATGAAAATGGCATCATGTCAATGTATGAATACGCTGTACAGCACAAAGTGAGCAGTCTCAAAATGAGATGCCAACGTTCATCTCAATTGAAACCGTTCAAAGGGCAAGCGAGTACCAAAATGACAATTGTGGAATGATGTTTTTTGCACACAAGTGGTACCAGTACAGAAAAAAAAATTAAAAGCAGCAAGGGTCTTCCAGAAACTCAAGACAGGTGCCAACAGAAGTTATTGAAAGACAAATTGGCAACCAGTGGCACACATCTTGGCTACACCCAGCACTCGCTCCTTTTTTTTTTTTCTGAAGGTATCTTGATTTTTTTTTTTTTTTTTTTAACAGGTATCCTGATCAAAACCAGCTCAGCGTCAGATGCCGTTAGGAAGGTATGACTTCAAATTACACTTTGTATCCCTGAAAGAGGGAAACATTTAAGGCAAAATTAACATCCTGAAGCTGTTTCGACATGGGTACATTCACAAGGTGAACATGAACACTCAAGAATCAATCTGCTGGCTCACTCTCAGTCGAGATGGGAGCAACTGAAAGTCTTCAGCTGACAATCAGGTTTAACCACAAAAGACCCTTACTGCATTTAACACTATTTTTTTTAAACTTGATATTTAAACGAGACGTGAAATATTTAAATAAGCTAGTACTTTTAAGTGAACTAGGAGTGCTCATTTTAGGTCGTGGCGTTTAGGCAAAAAGACGTTAGTTCGAACAGTGAAAGGCAGTTACACGAACAATACTTGGCCTGTGCTCGCACCTCGCCATTCGCTCTCACTGTGTTATTTTCGCCCGATGGTAGCCCACTAGGTTTTTAATCTATATATGTGTTGAGAGGCAGCTCTCAAGCGGATTACTTTTTGCATACAGCGACGCGACCGTGACGAGCCACTTTGCTCGCAACGCTTCGAGCTAGCCCAGGCCGACGAATCCATTTGTGAACTCGTCGGCCGTAGCCATGTTTCTTGAGGACTTAAATTTAACCTTTACCACGCCTAACTTCTCCATGGCCTGTTACTCTTTTCACATTAGGTTTTCTTAACGTCTCTTTTGTCGTTCTCATTGTTGTATTTTATCTAGCATTGAGCCCCACCCATGAGTACTTTGACCCTTTTTTTTTTTTTGCGCTTAACGATTGTGTTAAAGCATCGTCGGTAAAAAATAATGTTCCTTACCTGATAACCTTTTAATTTTGGTTTCACTCTCGTAGTGTAACACAACGAAATAAAGTCAACACTAAAAAATGGCTGTTGAGTCTCTTGAAAAGCACAACATATTCCTGATAATCAAGCCTGCTGTTGATCTTTATTAGACGGTATCCCGCTTTAGCTAAAAGTAATCACTGTGGCTTTATTAGAACATACCCTGATTCATTTTGTGAAACTCGTTGTGTTTCACTTAAAATTTGAAGTTGCATTCTGGTCCAGTTGTACTGAATGTTTCAAGCTGCTTAACCAAGTGTATTCACTGCATTCTAAAACTTTCAGGTCTGGATTCTCAGTACACACCCCTTTGTCTCGGGCTCATCATCTGATCAAAACAAGTCTTGTTTTATAATTTTTATCATTGATTAAGATAAGGAATTGGAGCATTGGACAAGCATTAGTATAACAAGAGCTACAGCTACAAAAACAAGTGAATTTACAGTCAAAGGTGCCCAAAATTCCCTCTCTGTGTCAGCAGCAGGGCATCTTATTCCTTCACCATGTCGGAGGGCCGGATCTATGTCGGGAATCTGCCAATGGATGTCCAGGAGAGGGACATTGAAGATCTCTTCTACAAATATGGAAAAATTCGTGAGATTGAATTGAAGAACAACCGAGGCACTATCCCGTTTGCCTTTATTCGATTTGAAGACCCACGGTGAGTTTTGGGATGGATCCAGCTTCATCCCCATTGGGTATCAAGTGTTTTCTGTAATAGTTCCTCAAGTGCTCCCGGCAGGAAATGGATCCGCAACATGTCTGTAACCGGCCCACCTAGGTAAGGAGTTCTGTGCTCTCTTCTCTTAGGGATGCGGATGACGCAGTCTATGGAAGGAACGGATATGGATATGGAGACTCCAAACTACGTGTGGAGTATCCTCGATCCTCAAGTAAATTTAATCCAATGGGAGGTGGAGGTGGTGGTGGAGATAGAGGAAGTGGACCCAGAGGACGATTTGGACCCCCGACACGGAGGTCTGAGTTCCGTGTGATAGTGACTGGTAGGTGGACATCTACAGTTGTAGCCCATTAATAATACCCCTTGGATGTCAAGTGGACCATTAGGAAGTGGACATGCAGAGTCTCAGGTGTCTCTTGCCCTCCCATGGCGGACGACAGCATAAAGGGACTTGTAGTTAGAAGTCAGGAGCTGCAAGGTAGCTATATCTCATAGCAGATGGATGACAAAGGCACTCGTAAGATGCAAGGCAAGAATTGTTGACGTGTGTCCTCCTCGGTCTCTAAGTGGCGGACTGGAGGACAAGCGGACAAAC